TTTTTTTTTTTTTTTTGAGAATTATAATGCATAATTTGCAAACCATTAATGATATTCTATTAGAAGAAGAATAACCAATAGCATTATATTTAGTGTTTCTTCGGCTTGGTTAATATATTACAATATTACAAATTTTCAAACTTTATGCGATAATATTAATTGATATAAATACAAATACATATATTTATTTTTTTGGCTTTTAAATTTTAAATCTTCTAATACTTGTTAACTCATGTTTTTACTTATTTTGGATTAATTTTTTGAAAGAAGGATGGTTTTGACTATTTTGTGAAAAATCTAAATAGTTTGGCTAAATCATGAAAATCATTCTTTTCAGGCAACCAATCGCAATCATTACGATTCTTTAAAAATATGAATATTTATGTCAAAATAATTTGCTATAATATAAAAGAATGAAATAAAAAGCAATGAGAATTAAAAAGTAATTTATCATAGTAATGTGCGATAATATATAAAAATGTGCATACTAGTCAAAATAAAATTTAGATTTTTCATGAAAAAAATATCACGATTTTTAAATCTTTCCTATCATTTCAGGAAAATTAAGTTTCTGTAATTGATTTATGCCTGAATAGAATTTTCAAGAATAAAATATCATGATTTTTAAATCTTCCTTTATCATTTTAGGAAAATTAAGTTTAACTGATTTATTTCATAATGAACATTTTTCAGCTTTCAACTTTTATTATTTGTATTTCTTAATAACAAATGCCATATAAATTTTTATAATCATCAATTTACAGTAATATTTCAAATTTTGTCATATTATTAAGATTATTAAATTATTAGATACGTTCGCTATAATTTCATTCTGCACGTAGTGTAATATCGATGATGATATTTACTACTAAATTTTAATTATTATTTCCTCAGCGAATAATGAATATATTTTATTATAAAATGATGATTATAAAAAGAATGGAGAATTATTTGTAAAAATAGTAATGAAATTAACTTCAGATAGTTTTCAGAAAAAAAATCCAATGGATTCATATCTGGTATTCCAAAATCATTGCAGCCAATTTACTTATCTCGAAAGGACCTCTTTTTTTTTTTAAATGAGTCCATATTGTTACGAAGTAACATTCTCAAGAATATTTTGATCAAACTCATTGAAATATACTTGAATTATTATGTTATACATTAAATTTAGACAGAATCTTATTAATACGATATTATAATGATACATACTATAAATTTTTTTCCTAATTTTAGAAATTTATATATTAAATGTTATTTATTATCTATCAAAGCATTATTATTATTTTTCAATAATATTAATTTTCGTTGTACAATCCTTTTAGATAATATATAATAATATATTAAACTAATAAACTAATAATATATTATTAGTTTCATAATTTTAATTTCATATTTTTTTATTAATACAATTATTCATTTCACACATATAGCAAATTTTTTTTCTTGAATTGATAACTTCTTTATATATTTTATTTATTTTTTTTTCTCAAAATAGTATTAAAATCTTATATTATGATCTGAGAATTTTTTTTCAAATCATAATAAAATAATCATATTTTCTTGATATTTTCAAATCATAAAAAAATAAAATCTTATATATACAATTTATATGTATAACAATATAATAACATATATAAAATTTTTATGGGAAATCTATGAATATTTCTAAGGATACTGCACGAAAAAACAGGAATATATTACAAACGTTATCTATATCGAAAATACGTAAGTCTCATCTCTATTGGAGATCATAGTTTAATTTTTCAATTTTCTTTTTCTTTCTTATAGAATACAAAGAGTTTTCAATTTTCTTTTTACATTTACAGATTAAAAAAACCAAAGAAGAACTTTTAAAATGGATTGACTATTATTATCTGGATACTTCAACACAATCAAAAAATACACAAGATGATCATGTTGTATTACTTCTTAAATCTAAACATTATTGTAAATTAATGATTTCATAAAAACGAAATGTTGTTAAATAATATTTATTACATATTTTAAAACTTAAGACTGAATAAATAATTTGAATATTATTTAATCAATTGTCTTATAAAGAAAAAAACTGTAATGAATTATATTTTAATATTAAATTCGAATGCTTACTTACAGGTAAAATTTAATATAAATGTAGAAAATTGCGCTTAATATTAATAGAATTTTCAAAAAAAATGCATTAAATTTCTCATTGTTAAAAAATTACAAATATAATCGTAAAAAATACAAAAAAATTATTAATGATAATTAATTATAATAATTTTAATCTTGAAAATCCTATTCTTCAACTTTTTATATTATAACTATGTAAAATTATAAATTACTATTATTATTGTTGTAAATATTTATTATTGTAAATACAAATATAAAAAAAATATTATAATATATATAGAGATATAGATAAATAAAAAAAGTGAATAATATTTTTTAATAGTATAATTTTTATTTCATTTTTAATTGTAAAGAGATATTTATTTATTGTATATAATATAAAAGCCTATAAATATACATTCCTATATAATATAATAATAACAAATATAAATATATATATTATATTATATAAATATAATATAATATAATAAATATATAATAACAATAAATATACATCCTATATAATCGAAATATGCGAAATATTTTATATAAAAAATTAACATTCATATATCAATAATTAATATTATATTAATGATAGAAATATATCATATATTTTTTATAATAAATAATAATATTTTTTATAACAAAAAGTTTAAATATAAAATTTTACAATTTAATATTTTTCATTTACAAACTATAATATACATTTTATTTTATAACAACTATAATGCTTCATATTATAAAATAATATTACAATTATAAATGTAGTATATTTCTTTCAAAATTTAAAGCTTAAAATTTAATTCATCAATTATTAAATTAATTTATCTTTTTTATTTATAATAATATATTACTTTCTTTATAATAATATATATACATATATGTATAAATATAATTTTGAAAAAAATTAATCTATCATATTTTGAATTATTTTTTAAAAAGTTCATTTCATTTGGTTTCATTTAGTTAAAGCTATTACATTATTTTTTGCGTAAATAATACTATAAATTATATTCATATCACATATAAAAATATCTAATATCTTATATCTTAACAACATAATTTGAAGGAAACAGTCCAGTTTTTCCTTTTAATCTGCCATACCACCAACCACCTTCATCTGAAATTAAATATTATGTTTTATATAAGAATTCGAATTAATTTATAGCACTATAAATAAATTTAATAAATAAATAAATAAAATGACTTATAAAATATATAATGAGATATTTTAAAACCATAGTGTTTCCTGTACTGATAATAATTCTACTATTACTTATATAAAAAAGTTTGTTCGCATCCATATTTTCCTTGATATTTAATCATCAACTAAAAAAAGAACTTTAGACAAAATTATTTTTAATTTATTTTCTTCTTATTTTAATTTCTAGAATCATGTATTAAATTTTCTTTTTATTTTGATCAAATCCTGTATGTATTTAAAGTTATAAAAAATTCAATTGAAAAAGTATATAAAAATAAATTTACAATTCATGTATAATGATATTTCAAATGATTCGTAAATATATATTTTATATTTATAATATTTCGTATTTTTATAACAAATAAAATTTATTTATATAAATATTATTTATAATAATTTTTATATATAATTTGGTTATATATTTATATATCTTAATTATATTAATTTAAACTTACGTTCTTTAAGTATTTCTAGAATATCACCTTCTTTAAGTTCTATTTCATCCTTATCTTGTGGTTTGTAATCATATAAAGATTTAGCTTTAGGTAAACTAGGAAGAGCTGGTTTTGATGGATGTATTTTATTATTCGAAATAATATGAGATGCATCATTTTCAGTTTTATTCACTTCTTGTCTTGTGTTTTGTTCTTTATCTATTTGCATATTCTTATTGTATTTTATGCTTTTATTATTACTTGTGAGATCATTATTATCGATCGGATATTTGAAACCTGGTATATGCGATGGAGGTGGCTCCGAAGGAACTGGAGGAAACTTCAATAAACCTATTTAATTGTTAATAATTATTTAAAATTATTTAATTATCATTTATTTAAATATAATAAAAAAATTATAAAAAATTGAATAATTTGAAATTTATTATTATGCAATTAAATATCAAGAAACAAAAAATCTTAAAACTTTAAAAGAAATTTGAAAACAAGAAAAGATGTTATGATAATAAGAATTTGATATTAAGTTATTTTTAATAACAATGTTTTTACGATTATATAATCACATTTTTAATATTAATTTTGTTAACATTTCAATTCAAATAAAAAAAAAGAAGTAATAAGCTTATTATTAACTCACCATGTGGAATGCCATTTGGATTGGTAAACATACCCATTAAAGGCATAGAGTTATTTTCTAATTTTCTCGGCTGCTTTGTTATTTGCTTTTTTTCTTTTGTTTGCGTAGATTCATTCAGAGAATCAACTGTTTTGTTTGATACTATAGATAATTGTAACTTAGGTTTTTCAGGTATAGTTTTTGGTATAGTTGATTTTGAAGATAATGTATGATCAATGTTAGAATTTTGAAATTGTTTGATAATTGTAGGTTGAACAATTGATTGAAGTGATTTATTTGAGGCTGATTGTAACGTAATTGATGAAAAAGAATAATTATTCTTCAATACATTGTATTGTTGATTTACTGACCTTATTGGTTTTTTAATATTCAACTCTACAACAGAAATAAATACAATTGTTTTGAATATTACTTAAAATGATTGGCAAATTTCAATTAATAGAAAATAAAATAATATTATAATTTCATAAGATTAATTGAATTGGATATGTTTTTGATATATTAGATACATTATAAATATAAAATTGGAGAATATAAAAATTAATAAAGAAAATTATTTTTTAAAAATATTAATTCTTTTTTTCTTTTATATAATTGATATATAAATATCAATTTATAAATCAAAATGTTTTGTATATGATTTACATAATTATGATTCTTCAATATATTAATTAAAAATTTTTTCATTTATGAATTGCAAAAATAAAAATATTAAAAATAGTAATTTTAACTCTTATATTTAGATTTATTTTCTAAATATTCTATGAAAAAAATAATTTCTTTAAATTAATTTTTATACATATAAATAATCGAGATATTTCTTTCTTAATTTATTTTAAATTTTAAGATTAAACATAGTTCAAATATTTTCACATTAACTTATATATGCATATTACTACGAAACGAGATAACTTTTAAGACTTGAAAAATCTTCGTTTTAAATTAAAATTATTATATTAATTTTGTATTATTTGAATTATTATCATCAAAGCTCATAATATTTATTTGAAATATTTTTTTTATTTTATAATTAAAGAATTGTAATGAAAAGTAATCTATGAAAAAAAATATAAAGAGAAAATTTATAATTAATGCAATTACATTTATATATTAACAATTATTTAAAAGCAAAATAATTTCTTTATGGATCATATATAATATTAATAGTTACTTTTGAAACTGTTTTTATTTTTATTATTAACTTACTAGTAGTACTTGGTAGTCCTGGTCCAATCCAGACATTTAGAATTTTTCCATTTGGTTTTAAAATTTCATTGTTACCATAATCACTCTGCATGAAATGTATTTGTCTAGTACCTCCACTTCCCCATCCTTCTTTTTTAATCTTAAATTCTAAACTATAAAATAATTATATAAGATAACATTAAAAATATTCCATATTAATTAATTTGTTAAATTATTCTATTATTTTCGTTGTATTAATAATCTTACTTGTTACTAAATCTTATATTTAAAATATGCCCAGTTTCTTGAACGTATTTTTTATTAAGAAGAATTAAAAATTCTGTTTTAAATATTAATTCTAATAAACTATCATAATCCTCTTTTACATGGATAATAAGAAAACCATCCTGTAATCATCAATGAATAAAAAGCATCATATAGAGAAACAGTAATAGAGGAAAGAAAAATAGTGATTAATAATGATTAATAAATTAAATAATGAATAATAATTAAATAGTTAGAGAATATCTTTGAAATAATTGTACATTGTAATACGTAAATCAATATAATATACGTAGTATACATAAATCGAAAAATAGAAAAATTATGAAATTATTGATAACAATAATTATGTATTTATAGAGTAATAACATTCTTAATTGAAAAAAGATTTAAAGATCATCCTCAAGAATGAAAATATCATATTTTAAAAATAAAGAAAAGAAATAGTTAACATAAAAAAAAAAAATGTAAATAAAACTAAAAGAGCAAAATGTATATGAAAGAGGAAAAGTTCATTTTAATCATCCTTTTTTTTACGATATATATATAATAACTATAATAAAATTATATATTAATTATTATAATATATATTATATAAATTATATAACACTAATAATAACATTCACTTACTTGAAGAGTACTTAATGATACATGACTAAGTTGATTAAATGATAATTTTCGTTTTATAACTTCCACTAGATTTCCCTTGTCTGCACCTTTTTTTATTTGTTCTCGGCCAATAAGATATAAATATTTATTAGTTAAAATAAGTTCTTTTCTGCTCATCTATAATTTACCATTGATTTATTAGTTTACGTTTCGAATTAATTTTTGTACAGATTTGTGTAAATACCTTAAATCTTCTGTCATACTTTCTTGCAGTTTCAGCAAATAAAATTTTTTCCTTTTTTCCAATTAAATTTAATATTTGAGGCTTATCATCTAATCCAATATAATCACCCATAAAATTTCTATTCAAACTGGCACGTTTACGTTCTTTACGGCCAAACAAAAAATCAGCTGCTTCTTGTTTTTCTTGTTCACGTCTTTTTCGTGCGAAATATTTCTTAAATGCTTTTTGGATTATTCTAGCGTACATGTTATATTTCCGATCTCTTGCTTCTTCTAACATGAAAAGCTATTAAAAATCATTATATTTGTATTATAAATTTATAATTTATTAATTTTTGTATTGTAAATTTTTATGAAATTATTAGTAAATTAGAAATTTTACATTTTTATCACAAAAAAATTATATTTAAATCTAGACATATTTAAAATGATATTATTTAAAATACTATTCAAATAATATAATTCCAATTTTCAACAAAAAAGAAGATGTACAGATGAATTCTCACAAGAATATAACATGTATTATGAAACTTTAATAGTATACACTCATATACACAAAAAAATTAATATAATAATATAAAAAATCATAAAAACTACTATTCATAATTATTATTGAATTAATTAATATATATGTATATATGAATAATATATATTATATATATGAGAAAAAATTTACACTTTCAGGAACTTTTATGAATAATTTTGTTTTTCCAAGTTGATATTGTGATTTCCCAATATTAAGGCTATTTAATATCCATTCGATTCCCTGTTTTTCATCACCGGACCAATACGGCCATGTTTCTTTCGTTAGAATTCTATATCTCTGTAAAAATTTGGCAAATGTTCTTCTATATGCAAAACCAGCTCTACGCACTCTGATATTTTCTTTTAAACCTAAATATTCTACCTAAATAGCATAAAAAATATTAATTTGAAAAATTATTATTAATAAATATCAAATTATATTAAATTATTATTAATAAATATATATAAAAATGTAATGTGAAAATTTTTCACTTTTTTGTGCATGACAATATATGCAATATATATGTTAAATGTAAATAAAATTATGTTTAATATAAAATATATTATAATAAGATATTATATTATTATTAAATAAGATATTTACTATTATAAGATATTTGTTATATATGAAATTAATACATATATTAATAGGACATCTAAATATGAAAATATTTCTCTTTCTAAAAGTTCAAATTTGTTCAAATTTTAAATGCATTATATGACTATAAATATGACTTTAATTCATATAATTCAAAGCTGTATGATTTTAATTTTCTTATTTTTATTTAATATTTTTTTTTAAGGATATATAAATTTTTTTTTCTTAAGTAAACATATAAAAAATTATTTAAATATTTCTTTTTTGAATCTTATTAAATTAATTGTAATAAATAAATAAAAATCAAGATCTTATTAAATTTATAAAAAAAAAAAAACATACTTGATGTTTTACTCTAATTGAATCCCAATCTCGAGGTCTTTTCGTTTCATTTGGTTTGATACATCTAATATAATGTGGTGTAGATTTCATTAATTGATTCATCAATCGACTTGCTTGATTTCTTATCTTACTACCAGCAGTAGTAGGTCTAGATTTAAGCGTTTTTGTTTTATTTGTTTGAAGTTCTTGCGGATACAATTTGTGAATCAAAGAACTGAAAAATCATAATATATTTTATATACTTTTAATATCATATCAATTTATATCATATCTTAAAATAAAATTATATATTGTTTTTTTGATTTTTGATTTATAATATAATAGAATAATAAAATAATATTTATTTTTAAAATAAATCCAAAAATAAAAGAAAAATTTATAAATTTCTTGTTAATCAAATTAAAAGATAATTTCATTTTTTGTCAAATCTTTTTAAATACTTATCGGAAATTTTATATGTATTATTTAAGAAATATTAATATTTCTATTTTTAAATTAAAATCAATTATTTCTTATATAAAATTATATAAATTTTAAATATAAAATAAGGCTCAATTATTGTCATATTAAGATTGAATATTAAGATTGATTATTGTAGAGCTTTTATATTTATCAAACAAAAGCATATATTTTTTTTAAATTTTTTATTATGTACTTTTTTAAAGAAAAGATTTTTATGACTTTCAAAATTTTCTATTGTATTTAGAAATTTATAAATAATAATAGAAAATATTTGAGACGTTATTATATTCATTATATATGTATATTATTAATAACTTAGAAGATATGTGTATTATTAATAAATGAGAAGATAATAATAACTCACTTTTTGCTTGTTTGCATTAATTCCACGAGATCAATGAAAAGTACATCACGATTTTTATCACAAAATCCATCAACCGAATAAGAAACTATACCAGCATAATGGTAAATAGCAAATCCATCATTCGTGCTTTGGAAGTGCTCGTGTTTATTAGCTGCAGCTGCAAGTTTCTGCAATTATTATTAAGATTAATCGAATGAATAAAGATTGTAAAAAAATATACACGAAGAAAATAAATTAATTTAAATGAATTTTTAATATTAATCACATTATCTTATTGAATTCATGTTATGTCAATTTTTAAATATTAATATAGGATATTTAATATAAATGTTTAAAAATTTTAAAAATGATTATTAATTATCCATTTAATTATCAAAAAAGAAAACTAAAAATAAAAAAATTTTAATAATTAATAATCAGAAGTAATAATTGCAAAATTAAAAATTATTAGCAATTAAAAATCGAAGAATATCATTGGATATAAACTTCACTACTATCCATTACTTCACTACTATTTCTATTTGTGAAGAAAATTTAATTAATAATTTTGAATTAATAATTAATAAATTTTTTTAATATGGAGATTTTATTACATTAATTGTAAATTTAACAATAAAATTGATTTTGTTAATATTGTATGAATATTTAGCTATGTAAAAATTTTATGCATCTAGACTCTCATTTGTGAAAAATTTGTGAAATAATTTATTTCTGTTATATAAAATATTTATTGGAGAAGCATAATAAATTTAAAAAGAAAAAAAATTTAATCTAGAATATTTGTAAAAAAAATTCAATAATTGAAAGTCAATAATATTTTTATAGAAATTATTGTTTTTATTAGGAAATTCAATATTTCAAAAATTTAATTTTTTTTTAAAAATTAAACTTTGCAGGTTTATATGAAAATAAATGAGTATTTTTTTTTTCTTCTTCTTTTTAATCACAATTTTTATCACAACATTGATTCTTCAAGATGTAAAGAATGTAAATCTTTAATGAATGTTTTCATCTTAAATAATTGTGGATAAAGAGAAAATTATCTACAAATCAGCATCAAAATTTTAAAAGAATATTTCGAAAATTTCAAGATATCAAACATATAAAGATAATCTATATATAATATCATATTATAATATTATCATATTATTATCATATTATAATATAAGAAATAGTTTATGAAAATTAATAGTAATTTTTATATATTTTTATAGTATCATTTACCTTTTGTAAGTTTGCATCTGCGCCAGTACTACCACTATGAAGAGTTGCACATACATCGTCAAGGATTAAGAAGAGTCCTGGTAAACGTTTGCCTTCTAAAAGTTCGACAACAATTGCGTTATTAAAATATTCTATTGGAGTCCATTTTATATGTTCCGATATATATTCTTCCTGAAATTCATAAATAATAATTTAAAACTTAATTATTAGTTTAACTCGATCAATTATTAAATCACTATTTTCAAATTCAAATTTTAAATTCTATCGTTTTTTAATGTTACATGTAACATAATGTAACATAATTTTTAAAATATAATAAATAAAATAACAGAACTGTAAGAAGACTTTTAAATTTTCTCTAAATATTAGTTAAATCGACCGTTTATTTTACATCATTTCATATAAATAATTCACACGATTTTATAATATAGCTATCTGTTCAAATCTCTTGAGGTTTGAATTGGTAAAGTAAATGGTTCCGCTCCAAATCTCTTTTCGATGATCCACGAGGACAAAAGATGTCTTCAAGAGCAAGCAATTTCGTTGTTTTACGAATCTCTAGCGTTTTTTTGCACGCTCTAGTTGCGTTAAAAGTGGTACGAATCTTTTTATTTCAATCCATAGCTGAACTAACAACTGTATTACATTTTATGTTAACAACAATTTCTTCGTGAAACTTTTTAATCTGCCAAGTTCTTTGATGTTTTTTTTTTTTATTTTTTATATGCCAAACATTTTAACTGTTATATTTTGTTATATTATACCTTTCTTATTTCTGAAAATTTTAGCATAATATCGAAAATTTATACAATTTTCCAATCATTTAAACAACGAATATGTATATGTATAGTTTTATATGTATAGTAATATGTATAGCTAAGAAATATGTATAGCTAAAGAAAACATTATGTGATTTTAACGATAGTTTGAATTCTATCTTCAAATTCTAAGTTTAAGATAATAATTAATAATTGATATCTTGTAAATAATAATAATAATAACAATATAATTTCTCTTATAAATTTATCAATAAAGATTCTCGTGTTTCGATTCAAATAAAATTATATTGATCGAACGAAATTAGAAAATATCTAAGAATATGTATATAAATATGTAATATGTACGCGATAAAAAAATCAGAATTTAAAAATCATGTATCCTCCATTTTCGAATGTGTTTTCATATATATACAATTTCATCAACAATTCAGAAACTTTTTATATAAATATATGAAAATAAAAATTTAGAAGAGCCGCAAATTGGGCACCACTATTATGTTTGTTTCATTTAAAAAAAAAATACATAATCGTTACGTAAAATAATTTACGTATAGTTTGTTGTTCATGAAATAGATTATTACTTCATACAAGGTAATTAAATCAAACGATATTATGTTTGTGGGAAAGAAATTTCTATTGTTTTGAAATGGGAAAATTAAAAAAGTAGATAATAAAAAGTGAAAGATAAAGTATATATCTACTAGATTCGTTATTATGAAAATTTTTAAAAAGTTCCTTTTAATTCTTATAACATTGTTTTTCAGTAAGTAACAATTTTAATAATATAACTTATACATAAATAATTACAAATATTTATAATAATAATAAATAATACTTATATGTTATTATAAATAAGATGAAAACTATTTATTATTTATATATGGATTTATAAGAATATAACATATACAAGTTATTTGTATTTATTTTAACCTCATCAATCCTCAAAAGATATATTACAAATATATTAACACATTATAATAAATTAAATGATGAATTCATTCATTAAACAAGAGGAACTTTCACTTTGAATGAAAGGTACAATATTCTACACAATTAAAGCTTTCACTATGTTGAAGAATTAAATAATATATTTACGATATAATTATTATATTTATCACATGATTACGGCTAAAATTTTTATTTACTACAAATGTATAATTAACGCTTTCTCCTTATTGATGAATCGAAACGTTTACAATTATTATGATTATCGACCACAATTTTTTTTATTTTTATTTATTAAATATTATTACTACATTTTATTATATCTTTATTTGTTTCTATATATCTTTATTATTTTATTTCATCAATACTTTTTTTTATTTCTTTTTTATATAAAATATTAATATATAATATAATATAATATAATATAATATATATAATATATAATATATAATATAATATAATATAATATAATATAATATATATAATATATAATATATAATATAATATATATAATATAATATATAATATAATATATAATTTTTAAAGACTATCTTTTAGAGATCAAAACAAATATAAAAGTTAAGACATAAAAATATCGATTGAATCTTATTTATTAAGTTATAAGCAATTTAAGTTTGCGTTAAATGAAATAAGACAGAGATAGAATATAATGCCAGACTTTACCTTTTTAAAATCTTTTTCTTTTAAAACAAAGAATTACGTATTTAATCGAAATTATTAATTTTGAACATTTAACTAATTATAATATTTAAAAACGAAATGCAATTTTTATATTTTTATATTTTTGTATTTTTGATCTTTCATCTTATTTTGGTTTGAATAATTCTCTTATATCTCAACATAGCCAAATATATGTAGGTATATATCTTAAATAGTAATGATATAATCTTAACATTATTAATTTGAAATATGTTTAAATTTTTTATTTAAATCTAATTATGATCATTAAAAATCATTTAATAATTTATTTATATAATAATTTATATAATAATTTAATAATTTAAATTCTCATATGAGATTAAAATAGATTTATCATCAATACATTTTTGTATCATATAATACATAATAATAATAGTTACATAATCTCATTATCATTTTCATGTTACATACAATATTATCGATTGAGATTGAAATCAAATATCATTAGAACAAAAAAAATTATAATTAAATTTGGCGATAGTCAATTATTTTAACATAAGAATTATAATTGCAATTGATTCATAAAATTCAAATTTGATACGAGATTGATTGTCCGACATTTTTATATAAAAAAAAATATATCTTTCAGAGTCAAATTCAATTTTTATTATCTGTATATTCAAATTCAAGTTAAAATTAATATTTTGAATATTCAACATTTGGATGATAAAAACTCAGCCAATATTCAAATTTAAATTAAATAAACATCCAATTAAATTAAATTAAACATCCAATCGAAGACATAAATAACTGAATATAGTGAAAATGATTATCGATGAAGTTAATCAAAATTTTAAAAATTTAAATATATATTATTTTTTTGTTTATTATATATTATTATATAGTATATTTATATTTATAAATAATATGTATAAGAAGTTTAGTTTAAAAAAAAATCAATTATGAAGAAAGAAAAATATTTAATCATTCAGAAAGTTGAGGATAGATTCAATATATTATGATGTGAAAATATATTCTTTATGAAATTTTCTATATATATAATCTTTGTCGATATTTTCAATATCTGATTTTAATTGTCAAAAAAAATTTATTCTATTTATCTAGAGAATAAATAATTATAAAAATATATTCTAATCTATCTAATCTATAAAAATATATATATAAATTATCAATTTTATTATTAACTTTATTAATTTTTAAAATTAATAATAATAAAATCTTTGCTTATAATAAATCTTTGCTTAATATTTAGAATCCACTATAAAAAAATAAAAAAATATTAAATATAAATACAATTAGAAATAAGAAATTAACATTTAAAGTAGATGAAATTAAGTTGCAATACTTTATTTTTTTTTTTTTTTTAGCAATATTCATTAATATACACGCATATATAAAAAAATAATATTAGACGTAGAAAGAAAAGACAATAATGCAACATGTATGAGAAAAATTTTATTTTAGAACTACATATCTCTCGATAAAAGAATGCTCCAGATAGAATCCCTAATGAATCGTTTTAACCCATTTTCTCAGCTTTGAATAGCAGGATTTCCTGTGACATCTTCTACACCGTCGAAAATAAAACCGTTCCGTCATTACACTGCAACTGTATATTTTGTTCCAAGAGATTTTCATGGATAATGAAACCGTTAAGTCTCCTCATTTTAAAATTGATAAAATCTTCTTATTTTAGTTATATAGATGATTAAATAAATAAATAGATATATAGCCATTAACAAGTATATGTACATATAACAATGTACATATAACAATTTTATTATTTTATTAAGTATTCATTCGTTAAGAAAACATTCTTTACTGAAAAAATTTCATAATTATTCATTCATTTTCATTATATAAAAGTAATTCAAAGAATACTAATATATAAATGTGCAAAAAGATTAGTTACTTATTTAAAATTAAGAAATTATATAAAAATAAAAATAAGTAATTGTGAACAATTATCTGACTTCTTGCGTTATATTTCACTGTCATTGTGGCTAATTAACCCTTAAGATCACGAGTTCTAAAAATCTACACAAACACTCAAGCAAAGTCACTGAGGTTCATTATGGATTTTTCTAAAATTTAGCATTCTAAATATGTACTTCAAATATTTAAAACTATAGTAAAATCAATGGAATAATTTTATTAAATACTTTTTAATATTAATATAAACAATATTTAAACAATTGACATAAAAATTGAAAAAAATTATTATAAAATATTAAATTCTCAAATTATTCTATTTAGGATTCTAAAGAAAAAAGAATGTATGCTAATAAACCAAAAAAAAGAACGAATGTATAATTGAATATATAATTATTATTTATAATTTTTTGGATTATTTCACTTTTATAATTTCATTTGAATATCATTGAATGGAGTTATATCTTATGAACAATGATTTAATAAATTCAAGTTATGATTTAAGCACAACATGATATAATAAAATATTTGAGAATTTAGATTATTTAAAAAAAAGATTTCTAAGTACAAAACTTTTATTTTTTATGCTATTCGTATAATAATAATAAATTTAATATTTTAATAAAAAGTATTTACAATTTTTTAAAAATTGGAATAATTCCAATTTTTAAAAAATTGGAAACTTATAAATTCTTGAATATGAAAAAATTATTATTATTATACTCATTCGATATAAACATAAAAATTATGTGATAAATCATTTTTTGCAAGTATTGGAAAGATTTCACTTAACTTAATTCTTTTAAATGAAATACAGTACATAAATACGTATAT